CTAAGGTAAAAAGCATAAAAGGATTTTGTCATCTTTGGAAGATCTGAGAAAGTCTTGGTTAAGACAGCAGTCTCTTCCGCTTACTACTATGTCCACTTTTAAGTATTCTTAGGGACTGTGTTCTTCTACCTGGAGGTATTTTTGAGCTCTGCTTTGATAGGAAAATCTTAGATCATGATTTCTCCAATAAATCAGTGGTCCCTTTAGAAACAGGGAGGACTATGTGCTGGTGGATGGAAAGACAGTTTCACAAGACCTGAGGCTGCCAATGGTGACAACCATTGGCATGGTGATGATGCCTCTGTCTCCACCAAGATCTCACCCAACAAATGTTGTATTTCAATGGTTGGCCCTTAACTCTGATTTGATATCCAATATAACAAACTCTCAATACAACAGGACTAATGAGAAGTGTTTTAATGAGATTTGATCTGGATATGAAATTGGCCTTTTTCCTTATGGCCACCCAAATTCTCCAGGTACTGCAAGAATATTACTTTAATCTGGATTTCAGGTGCAGAATTTGACCAGAACAAATGTCCTGCTCTTTGTGTCTTCCTCATCTTTCCTATTTTTATATAGTTATTGGTAAGAACATTTCAATTTTCACTTTGGCCACTAAAGGCTTCATGCATTGCAAAAACCAATTTTAATGGGTATTTCATAGTTAGGAAACAACTTTTTAATTATTTGCTTAGAGTTTTGTTTCTCTGATTTTTATGAGTGCCTGTTTGGAACAAAAAAGAGTTCAGGGTTTGGAGTTCCTGGGGTGCGATTTCAGGCTGTGCATGTCCTCCTTGTCTACCGTTGGATGTATGATGTTCTTTATGAGCCCTAGTTGTAACTTGCACTGTCTTCCTTAGGGTGTGGTGATGATGAGTACACAGGACAATGTGTGTGAATGTGCTTTGTGAGCTCTGGAGGACTCCACAAATGCCAGGCTTTTGTCTTATTTCCGATGCCCTCTAACGAACTCCAAAAACTCTAACCAGTTTGCTCTGTGTACACGGCCAGCCATTGCATATGGAACTGGAGCATGTGACATTGCCTTCTTTCAACCGCTTTTGAGTGTCACTGTGTTTATGGCTCTATGATTTAGCACCATGTTGGAGGAAGTAATCATTGCATTGTCCCCGAGTGTCTGGTGAAAGGACCAAATGCAGACAAGTGTTGAGTGGACTCCATTTCCCACATGATGTATGCAGGACCATGGTGACTATGAGTAACACAGCTATAAATGGGTCATGGCAAGGCATAAATATCACATGTTCCTCAGTCTAGACTTAGGGTGTCACAAGGGAGATATTTGATTATCCCCACACCAGCCAAGGTGTGCCTTTCCCAAATGTAAACTAGAGGTTGGGTTTCCCATGTCTTGATTTGGGTACAAAGAGTGTGTGGGGTAGCTGAAGAGTGACTTTCCAGCTGGGTGCCTCACCTTCCCCATCACTCTCACAAATATTCTCTACAGGAGAACAGGACACAGGAGAATAGCTAACAGCTGTTGTCTAGGCAGCAAAGCCGTGTGGTCTTGGAGACTGCTCAACGCGCTTACATTCCAACACCCGAAAAACAAGTGTGCTTTACAGCATGGGCTATTTTAGCTCTGGATCCCTTCCCTTGTTTCTCGTTTCTAAATTTGAGCACTGACGCAGAGGAGGGAGCCCAGGTCTGGATTCCCGAATTTTTGTATTCTGGTGTCATATAGGCATCCTGAGCACAGCTCCAAAAACTGGGAATGGAGACTCTGGCCTTCTGGGGACGTTGTACTCCAGAAAGAATGGTATCTGACATTATCCATCACCGGACTCCTGTGCTCAGGCTTTCTAGGCTCCCTTGAGTTCTACTGGGACCTGGAAGGGGGAGGGGGAGCTGGGTGGCAGAGTGGACACCTGTAATGGCTCCTGTATTTCATCTACTGCCTCATGCCTGGCTCCTTCTACAGGGAAGAATCAGGTTCATTTTGTAGATTGAATGAGGTAGCAGTGTGAAGTCAGGAGTGGGGCACCTGGCACATAGTTGATGCGCAGAAGTGGCACCACCACCACCAGCTGTTTCTCCACCTCCACATGAAGCACAGCATCCCCTTCTTGAATCAGCTTTCCAAGCTTCTCTTGACTCTCGGGCACAGTGGAGGAAGAGGATGAGCACAGTTTCTCTGAGGCTAGTGTCACATAAAGAATCCCATGCACTTATTTTTCTAAATAATATGACCGTCTCACAGTGGCCTTGGTGGTCTGGGCAAACTGGAAGACAATTTCTCTCTGTTTATAAAACCGTCTCAAAGTCATAGAGGTTCACAAGCTGAACTGAACCGTGAGGGTCATCTTATGGCTTTTAAATGCAAATGACTCATTCTATACTTCTCAGGATAGTCATCATTCCACTTATCTGTGACAGATATAGGATGATCAGAGTCCATATGAAGCCTGTCATATAAATGGTGCCAATTTCTGGATGCAGATGGCGCTTCACAGCCTGGACACTTCTTGGAGAGAAACCACAGCTCATAGAACATGCTTCAGTGACAATTTGCTATGGATCATCACCGCTTCCATGCTACTCAGAGAAGCCCAAGGAATGTCTTGGCTTCAAGGGAAGCTTGTCATGGGCCTCTCACTTAGCCAGAGAGATTGGCCATATGTCACCCAGCACAGAGATCACAGCAATAAAGTGGCTAGAGCATACCCTGGCCACAGTGGGGCCATGGCTGGGTCCTAGGGTAGAATTGGCAGCCCAATGGGGACATGGCACAATAAATTAACACTCTAGGTTTCCTGTATCTGTGACCCCTTGCTCATTACTGCTGACTTACACTGAAGAATATGGGTTTGGGTATAACTGCAACTCCAGTTTATTCCTGTTTTCATTTCTCCCGAGGTCTAACTCATTAATCACTAGGCCCCTGCCATATATCAGGTGCCATAACAGGCAATGCAATGTATAGTTGAATAGGCATGTTCAAATTTTTAGAAGGTCATAGTGGTGGGATAGTTATAGAGGGAAATGTATGAAAGGAGTGAGATGATACATATAAGCAAATACTATAGCATGTCCCATGGGGAGGTGGGATTTAGTCATAAGTTATAAGTAGAAACAGAGGCTTGATTGTAGAACTGAAAAAGATAAACAGCAGGCCGCGTAGGCTCATGGCATGTTACAGAAGTGGTAAGTAGTCTAGTGAACTCAGAGTGTGGGGTACATGAAGGTATATATATATAGGAGACAACCTAAATGTCCATTAATAGATGTATGAAAAAAGAAATGTGGGACACACACATAGACACACACACACAGGAATACTGTTCAGCCTTGAAAAAGAAGGAAATTCTATAATATGTGACAACATGGATAAACCTTGAGGACAGTATGCAAAGTACAGTAAGCCAGTCGCAGAAGGACAAATACTGCATGATCTCACTTATATGAGGTAGTTAATATAGCAAAACTCATAGAATTAAAGAGTGGAGTGGTGATTGCCAGAGGGTGGAGGAGGGAAAAATGGGAGTTATTCATCAACGTGCAGTTTCCATCAAGCAAGATAGGTAAGCTCTAGAAATCTACTGCACAACATTGCACCTAGAGTCAACAGCAATGTATTATACACTCACAAATGTAGTAAGAGGGTAGATCTCTTGTGTTATTTCTATAATAAAATAGGTTTCTAGAGAAATATGAGAGCCTAGGCTGACAGCTGTTGATGGCATTTTCAGTTTTGCAGTCATTAATACATTGCTACCTTTCCCTCTGGTTCAAGAACTATTCAAACCTTCCTGTTATTGGAATGGGAAGAGCTCCAGAGTAAGGATACTTGTGTTGGGATCCCAGCTTTTCCATTTACCAATGATGTTACTTTGCTTTTTGACCCTCTATATTTCATCTCAACAATGAGTACAACACAACTTGCATCACAGCAATGTTGTAAACGTTCGGTGATACAATAGGCTTTGTGATCTCTAAATAATTCTACAGGAAAGCAATGCTTGCTTATAGATCTCTGCTGTAGACTTAGGGCTCATTGGCCAGAACTGGGTCCCATGTCTTGCCCTGGCTGTAAGAGAGACTGAGACAGTAAGCAAAAACGTGATACCTCCTGAGACATAGGCTCAGAACTGGCACATCGTCACTTCCACCCCATTTTGTTAGCCAAAGCAAGTCATGTGGGCAAACTCAGGCATAAGGAATTATACCCCACCTCCCGTGGTAGGAAACCACAAAGTTACATAATAACAGAGATGAATATAGGGAGAGGTGAAGAACTGGAGCCAGGAATGCAAATTTACCTTAGGCACCAAAGGTCTTACAAGTCATAATAATAAGGTTAGTGTAATACTCTAATCTTTCAGAGGGAAGCCATCCTAATTTAGTTTAGAATTACTAAATCACTAGAGCCAAAGTTGATGACCACACCTTTTACTCACAGTTCACTTAATGGGATTGAAAGATGAAGTTTTCAAGTGAGAGCAGGGTCTTCAATTTTGACTTGCACCTATCATATTGATTTGTAAATGGTCCCTAAAATATATCATGAAAATTAAACTAATGTTGAACCCGGTGAACATTATGTTAAGTGAAATAAGCCAGGCACAAAAAGACAAATACTTCATGATCTCACTTATATATGGAATCTAAAAAAGTTAAACTCATAGAAGCAGAGTAGAATGGTGGTTACCAGGGGTTGTCAGGGAGGGTGATGAGATGTCAGTTAAGGGGTACCAAGTTTCAGTTAGATAGGAGGAATATGTTCTGTTGTACAGCATAGCATCTCTGTTAATAATATCTTGTAGCCATGAAAATTGCTAAGAGATTAGATCTCAAAAGTTCTAATAGGTATGTGAGGTATGGATATGCTAATTACTTTTGATTTAATCATTTCACAATGTATACATATATCAAAACATTGTCCTGTGTATACCATAAATATATACAATTTTTGTCAATTATGTCTTAATAGAGCTGGGGGGAGGAAACTAATGATTCCTTTGGATTTTCTTTTGCAGGCTTGATATGAAGAATTAAAGAGTAAGAGGATGGAATCAAATGGACATAGCTCTCTAAAAAATTTTATATATTTGTATGACGAACCTCCTGAATGCCTGAGACTCTAGCAGAAATGACCTGTTTGTACATTTATATCTCTTCCTTTTAGCTGGCTGTATTTCTCACTTTAATTTATCTTCATCTTTGGCACCTTGCAGAACAAATAAGCCCATGAATTCACCATCTAGTGGGTGTGGTTTTGAGGAGGAATTTTATGGAAGGGGATATGACAATGTGCATAACAATTATTTTGATGGAAAGTTCTCCAAGCTACTTCCTACAGTGTTTTGGTCATGATTTGGAATGTATTTTATTTCTTCACCTTTCAAATTATGTCAATAAACTTTTTATGAGCTCAAATAAACATTCGAGTAAATGTAAACTAGTGAATTTAGACTAAGTTAATTTTCATATCTTCAAATAGCGACATATTCCCTTAACATGGAGGGAAATGAGATATGAGTCAGCCCAATCCCATATTGACTAAACGGGGGACTTGCCTTCTGAATTATTGAGTAGCATGAGTAGAACTATGGCTGACTGATCACTGCATATGAAGTTAAACACTGCTTGAGGAATTGGGTATCATTAATATTCCCCTTCCAAGGATGACCTGTATTGTGAGTACATTTCACTTCCATAGAGTCTCAGAAACTGCCCTCACCCAGATGGAATAGAGTTCATTATAAGGCACAACAAAGTAAAGCTGGAATATCAGAGCAAGAGAAAGGGGCAGAGCATACGAAAGCTGTCCAAACATGAAACATGTCTACTGCTGCTCAAATGGAGAGTCTCCATGTCAACGTAATCAATATCCAATACTATCACAGACAAAAAAAAAAATCACCTGTTCTCCTCTAGAGTCTTATGATCTTCTGAAATGCCCAGGCAAACTTCACAATATGAAGATTTTGAGGGACCAAGTTATCAGGATCACACTGTTTGAAAAGCAAGCATGTCACCTACCTGGTATGCAGAGACCTCAACACCATTTCCCCAGGCTAAATGATTGATCCTTGCTTCAGAGCCAGTCATTGTAAAAAAAAGAAAAGAAAAGAAAAAAATATCAAATGTACTTCTGAATATGCCAAGTGTCAATTACTCTTCCACTTTTCTGTTTCATAGATCAGTTTCCGAAAGTAGAACTATCATTGTCTACACATGACTGACTGCAGTCAGTGGTTTCTGATGAGTTTAGGTTTTCCTAAGGGGTGCCCATATGGCTGTAGGTCCCAGGTGCTTTGCAGGGCTATGGTTTACCCTGCTGATCTACATCTAATATATACATATGGAGTGAGGAATATCAATCAGAACAAAATATGCCAGCCTAATCATCTGTCCACAGACCAGGTGAACAGGTTCTGAATAATAAAGCATTGGGTTGCCTCAGGACGTCTCACGCTGTCCTAATTGGGGTAGTTGGGTAGGGTTATAAAATTTACCTCAGCATTCATTTTGTTTAAATGTAAATTACTTATGTTCAGTTTCAAAATGAAGTTCCAGTTTAATGCTATAAAAACTGTCTTCATATTTTTATGCAGTCACCTAAGGCAAATTTGCAGCATAATACAAACCAAAGTCATTCGACAAATTCAATGGATTTTTTGAGTTTTAAATGTAATATATATTTTATTTTGTTAAGGCTGAATTTCACTATGTATGGAATTTAGGAAGTTCCATATTCTGTCATTCATTGGCTAGACCACATAAGTAATATAGGAAAAGACAGAGTCTTTGCTTTTGATGAAGTTATAATTTAAAAAAATTTCACTCTAAAAAGCCATACATCACATTGAAATAGCTTTACTTATCCTAAAGGTTTGTAAGCAACCAATCATTATGCAATTTTTCCATGAAGGGCAAAAATACAAACAGATGAAAGTTGATTAGGAGAGAGGAAAAAAATCCAGAAACAAAACTGGTTTGAGTAAGCATAAGGTACCATGTCCAGTTTTTAGTATACGTATATGATAATCATATACTCTACTACAAGGTGATTGTCTTTGACACCATACAACATTCACTTCACCCACATTTCCTGGATGCCTACTAGTTGTCATGCCCTATGCTCAATGCAGGGGGAACACTGAGCAAATTCATCCAGAAAATCACCTTGCTTCAAACAACCCCTCATAGCTTCCATGCCCCTCCACTCTTTCTGCCCCATGTATGAGATTTTCCTATAGTGTGCTTGAGACATGAGTGAAAGAAGAAGGCCCCACTGGGTCCAAGACTTCGTGGGACACTTTGAAAGCTTCTCGCTTTGGAGAAGAAGTAATCAGGAACATACAAGTCTCTCTAGAATCATCTCAAGCACTCATTTTGTCTGATCTTTACATTTTGACAGCACAGATTGGAAGGTAATTAGCTTTGTTTCCAAGGTTACTTACTGAGTAGCTGAATGACACAGTCTTATTCTAAGTTAGGCCCAGGGCATGGGGGATGATAATTACCCAAATGAATCCCTCATTTTTAACTAGAGCAGTTAAAGGATTTACAAAAACCTCCCATTTTTATTAGGTCCGTGTAAGAAACACTACTAATTTCAATGTGCTATCCTGTGAAATCTCCTCTCCTATGTTCTGGGGCTGACCTAGAATTAGGGCTCCCCTCTTGGCAATGAAAACAGGGCTCATTTGGATTCAGGAACTACGAGTTGATCAATTAAAATTCGTTCCCTTTGAAGGCCTGTGGCATTATCCTATTGCTTTGCAATCTAGCTTGAAATAGAAACTGCATTTAACTTGATAATTGATGCTCTCTTGGGATTTTAACCTGATGCTGAATGTGTGCATCTGTGGCCCTTCGCCAGTTCTTTGCCTCACATACCATTAATGAAATTTCTGTGCCTCTTTGAAAGAGAGGATATATCATCATAACATTCAGAAGCAATCATGCATTCATTCGACGAGCCATATATAGAGCATTCACTAGGGGAGAAAGCAACTCACCAGCATGTTGCCAGGCTAAGAAAACCCTTAGAGTGCATGTATTGAGTTCATTTTTTTCTGTAAGCAAATGACCAGACTTGTTTAGATTCTGCACTGAAGGCAAATCACACTGTCAAAAATATATATGTGCCGATTATAAAAGGGGATTCAGCCATAAAATAAGATTACAGTCTTAACAACATCATCACCTAGAGGTGTTCCTCAGAGAAAGAAAAACAACCTCAATTAAGCAATCATTTTCAAATTCTGGGATGCACTTGGCCTCACATCCTTCACCCCTATGCTTATTTATTAAAGGAGAAAAACCAATCCCTTAACATTTGACTTCTCCTGAGCAAAACAGTTCAGTGACACCACTGACTAGGAGAAACTGCACTGTCAAATAACAAGGTTCTTTTTTTTACGACCAGCTCTTTCTCTGGTTCAGTGAGGATATATTAAGATGCAGATTTCAGAGGGAAGGAGGCTTTCCCCTTGGGCTTCAAATGCTTGCAGATGAGCTGCAAAGCAAAAGCAGGTCTGCTTGCTGAAATAGAATGTTCAAATCTGATTGAGAGTTGGGAGGGCAATGGGCCAGGGAGGTGTGCCAGCAGGTTTTACCCCAGTGTGTAAGTGATGGATGGTCTCTAGGCATACAGAATGGGGATTGAGACGTCTCTGGAAACTCTTCCTGCTGCCTAATACTGCTCAGATATCTATGGTGCACTGGGCAAGACAGGATCCTGGAGGAATTTCTTCTCTGACATATTTTGTTTGTTTGTTTGATTTTTTTTGAGTTGGAGTCTCACTCGGTCCCCCAGGCTGGAGTGCAGTGGCATGCTCACGGCCACCCCAGCGTCGACCCGCTAGGCTCTGGTGATCCTTCTGCCTCAGCCCTCCAAGTAGCCAGAACTACAGGCGTGCACTACCATGCCTGGCTAATTTTTTTTTATTAGTTACTGTAGAGACGAGGGCTTGCCAAGTTGCCCTGGTTGATTTAGAACCCGTGGGCTCAGGCAATCCGCTCGCCTCGGCCTCCCAAAGTGCTGGGATTACAGGCTGAGCCACCGAGCTCTCTGACATTTGTTTGTTTTTTTTTTTTTGAGTTGGAATCTCACTCGGTCGCCCAGACTGGAGTGCAGCGGCCACTCCCGGCCACCACAGCCTCGCCTGCTGGGCTCCGGCGATCCTTCCGCCTCAGCCTTCCAAGTAGCCGGAATTACAGGCATGCGCTACCACGCCCGGCTGATTTTTTGATTTATTGTAGAGATGAGGTCTTGCTGCCCAGGCGGGTCTTGAACCCGCAGGCTCAGGCAATCCACTCACCTCAGCCTCCCAAAGGCGTGGGATTACAGGCTGAGCCACTGATCTCTGACATATTTGAAGCACACCAAGATCCAATCCAACCACCCATGCAAGCTGTGTTGCTTTATGGCTAATGGCAAGCTTTAGGTGGGAGCGGGGGAAAGAGGAAAGGCTTTGTTTTTGATTTATGGTTTTATTTATTTTGCTTGTTTCATACTGTGTTTTCTGGCCTTGGACTCAGGCCGTCCTTACCCTCTTCACCCAGCCAAAGGTGAGTCTTTCTGCATCTGGTGGGAGGAGGATGACATCAGAAGAAGCCAAAGGAGACACCTCAACTTCTAGAAAGCCAGGTACCCATCAGGGCATAGAATTTCTGCTTAGTATTGGAAAGCAGGCCTTTCCTTAGTGTTCTAAAATCAACTGGTGGATCCAACTTTATTATAATGTCTTTAAAATGGCATGTCACATTTATTTAAATTTGAAGATGAAAAAACAGGAGATAACAGCTGTCTCCAGTGAAAATAATGACAGTGAATAGACCTAGACTCTTTAATCTTGAAAGAAAGAACCAACCCTCTAAATATATATTTTTTAAAATTTGAATTTAGTACCAGACTGTGATGATGTTGGCCCAGAATGGGGAGGGTAGGAGGTCCATTTGAATTCAGGGAAACCATACACATAGGGAGGGGAATTCAGAAAGAGGAATTACCAGGAGAAATGGCCTCTCATGAGAGACCCACTGGACTTCAAACTCTGTACTTAGATCCTGGTCCACTGCAGGGACCTCAACCAATAACTTGGTATTTTGGTCCTACTTTGCTTGTTGCTTGCTTATTTCTCTAGAATTTTCCCAGCACAATTTTAAAACCAGCTTGGGAAGGGAACCATCTCCTCTTGGTTGTGTGGCTTTAATTTCCTCCGAGAGCATGCTTCCACCAGAGGCTTTACCAAATCTGCCACCCTGGAACCATTGGTTCCATTTGGCCCTGGATATAAACAATAATGTCTATTGCTGGCTAGAAAATAAACCGTGGGAACTGGCATGCTTTTCAATGAAAGGTCATGGAGAACAGCACTGCCAATGGCCCGTTGTATCCCCCAGACCTTTCATTTAGAGGCCAAATGGAGGCAATGATCTTTAACA